CATGGCCCTCTCGCCCCGCAGGGGAGAAGGGCGGCCTCGTCTCCGTGGGCTACGGGGACGACGACTTCACCCGCCTGGACGGCGACGAGGACGGCTACGAGGAGGAGGAGGACGAGAACAGCAGGCAGTCCGTAAGTAGCTCCCTGCCCTGGGGCTCACCCGGGAAAGGCCCTGAGCCGCGGCCCGGCCTGGAGCCCGGCTGCCCTGCCCGCTGCTGCGGCGCCTCCTGGGAGCCTTCGTCCCTTTCCTTTTATTTCCCAGTCCAAGACATTCGCTTTGAAACCCATGCACAGTTTGGCACAGCGCATGTTGTTTGTTACTGACTCAGTTTGGCTCTTTAGGGGGGAAAAAAAGGCAGTTATAGATCAACAGTCATGCCTAAGGTAATGTATTTTTAAGTAGAAATAGCATTTACTAGAATCTTGTAAGAGGAGCACATTGTAGCATGGTCACCCGGAGTATGAAAAAGAAGAAAGTTGTTCAATCTCCTAAGTTACTCCTTTGTCTATGACTTGGCTCGCTGCACTGGATCATCTTGATGTAGCAGTGTCCTGTCTAGGTGCGAGTGGCTTTTATTTGTCACCGATGCATGGCATGTCTCTAATAGCATCTTAATACTGAGATAAGTGGTGTGTGGTGAAGCAGGGTGTGAAGTTCACTATGTATAAAAGTAGCTAAACTCCCCAAAAGGATAAATAGGTTTGTCATGGGGCTGCTGGAGCAAAACAAGAAGGCTTCTTGGAGGAGCTGTTGTCTCCTTTCTTTCTTTCCCATCAACCTGCTACCTGTCACAGTGATAAGGACGTGTTACCTTACCTTTACTTTATTTTTTGTGACCACCCTGCAGAGGAGGGAAATAAGATGCTGCTTCTCTAAGTCTTTTTCATTGAAATCTGGTTTGTGTATTTAGGCTATTCCTTTACAAGAAGGCAATAGCACCTGTTTCTCCCAGGTGCTATTCTGCTATTAGTGATTCACTGGTAGAAAGCAAAAGAGCTGGGTTTTGTTCTTATTTTTAATTTAATTCTATTTCTGCTTAAAGGACATATAGCTGGTAGCCAGATTTAAGGAGTACATTCTGGATGTTCATCAAAAGTGTGTGGTGTTTTTCCTCCAAAACTTTAAGAATCTCTTTCAATGAGATTTTTTTCAGTTTAAAGCTAAGTGGCAGATAGGAACCAGATGGTGTTTAAGGACGGTTATGAATAGCATCAACAAATAGGTGCACAGACAGGGTATCTTTATGACCTGCATGCTTTCCAGTATAGGCTCAGCTGTCCATCACCTGAGAGCTGCAGGATGCAGTCCAGGTGACAACGACTGCTCACGTTACTCCTGTGGTTAGTCCATGGTCCTGGCACGTGTCTGTAGTCACTCACACTGCAGATCAGTGCAGGTCTGGACTTGTTACTCAGGGTGCTTCCTATCTAGTCTTGTTGCAGGAGGGCAATGCGGGTGTCCCATATATTTGACCAAAATCAAGAGTATCCTTGAATTTACATGTACTAGTAGCATATATTGACTTTTTTAGTTGTTTTTAGAAAGCAGTGCAAGTTGGACTCTGCATATCTTGAGTTTTTTAACCAAAATGCTTTTGTCCTTATATTGGCTACGTTAACCATGTTTGAAAAACCTCTTTATTTAGTTATTTTTTTTCTGTTCTCCTCTGTAACATGTTTTTAGTATTAGAGCCATTGCTATAGTAGGGTTATAGTAGGGTTATAGGTTATAGTAGGGTTTGGATTGGTTTCAGCTGCTCATCTCTAACATGAATGACTTGATTCACAGTTTTAGAGCCATTGCTTATGAGGTTATAGTAGGGTTTGGATTTGTTTCAGCTATTCATCTCTAACATGAATGACTTGATTCACTACTGCTCTGTTGAAAATAGCTTATCTTTTTACTAAGGGGGAGTGTGGAGGGGAATCTGAGTTGTGATTAAGCACCGAGTTGCTTGGTACTACTTTTCTCGTTTTATGCTTTTATTAAACTTGGGCTGACAAGCCTAAATTATTGACAAATGTACACGTTCCAGAAAGGTAAACTAGAGAGAAACTGGAATTAAAAAGGGATATGATAATCTGTGGGATATACATGTTATTTCACACAGTTAGAACTTACTGACAGTATTGCAGGATCACTCTCTAGCTGCCTTGACAGAACTTGCTTGTGTGTTAACACCCTGAAGTGGCCACCTCACTATAAACCCTTCCTTTTGGTTGCATGTAGTCCCCTCACTCCTTTTTCTTTTTGAAGCTGAAACTGTTCATTGTTTTGGGGCTCATGTTGAAATTGAATGGCAAAGTTTGGAGAAAAAGCCATTTGAGTCATGAAAATTCTTCTGCTCCTCAAATGCGATTTATATTTAGAATCATAAGAAACATTGTAGGATCTCCAGTGAAGTAGCTGATGGGGCAGTGGGACATTGCTTAGCTATTAGGTGGGACCAGAGCTGTCACTGACTTACAGCTTAGAGGTTTTTCAAGTAGTCTTGACTTTTAAGCTCTCACAGGGCAGAAATTTGCCCAACTCTCCAGCTTATATCTGGACATAAGGAGGGGAAAAAGACTTAAGTGTTGGTCATACCATTCTGTACAAGTTTATGAGCTGCAAATAAGGCTACTGTGCACAACTAAGAAAGATGTGGTGCCAGCTGCCATCACTGGGGCTTTGGGGCCTTGGAACTGTGTCCTCTGTGTTACTGATGGGTGCTTGGGAGTTTAGTAGGTCTTTGCAACTGCTGCTTTTTCTGTGAGTTGCTGAACAGAAATAAGTGCAAAAAAGCCCCCCAAAACTGAAAGACTGAATAATGAAGTGACAAGTGTGTTTTTTTTTTTTTTCCTTCCTTAGTTCTGTTGTTTCTTACTACCTAGTTTTGAGCATCCAGGAGTTTCATGAGTTCTGTGAGTGTCTACCAATTAGTGATTCTTTTGCTTAAACAAATAAAAAAGCCCCAGCCCCTGCTGATTTTCATAATTGCAGGACTTTCCCTTTGTAAGTGGGTGGGACAAAACTAACTTTTGGGAAAAGTCTTGGACTTCTGCTGGGCTGCTGTTTGCAAGCCCTTTGCTGAAAGTACAGTAACTTGCCAAGGCTGCTCTTTAAGCTTAATCCTGTAAATTCTTGTCTTGTAGGAAGATGACGATTCAGAGACTGAAAAACCTGAGGCTGGTGACCAGAAGGTATTTGGAAGTGTGGTGGTGTGGTGGTGGGGGGAAGCTCAGTACAAGAGGAGTAAATCTTCACAACATGGCTTGTTTTTGGTGTGTGATCTTCTGTAGCTGCTTTCATACTCTTTTTTTTTTTTTTTAATAGCTGCAACATGATTTTTGTAAGACTTTAAAATATGTCTTCTGCCAAAGGTTAGACTATGGACTGAATAATGTGAGGATCCTGGTTCTGGACTCATGAACTGGGTCTTCTCATTAAGATCTGAAGTTGACTTTCTGCATCTCACCTATTTTGCATAGATCAACAAGATGTAGTAGTCTACAGAATTCTCTTATTGTTTCTGATCACCATTACTTGAAAAACAAATCCATGAATAAGTGATCCTGTACTCCTGGAGATCAGGAAACATGACAGCTCAAATGCCTCCTTCTTTGTCATTTCCAATAAGGTTGTTTGACAAACTTTGTATTAAAAATGCTCAAATGAAGCTACCCTACCTATGTGAATAATTGAAGTCCCATTTATTCTAGAATTACATCTCATGTCTTCTGAATAATAGGTGTTTATTCACTTGCAGAGAAATATGCTGTGGTTTCTGTGTCAAATCAGTTCCCCATGCAGTATGGGAGGTCTTGTGGAATATTGAGTGAATAATGATTAAAAGGTCTTTTTGTTACTCAGAGGCTTCTTCGAGGCTGCAGAGCATCTCTAAACTTTGCTGAGAAAAGCACGGAGCCATGCTGCAAGGTGAAGTTCTGTAGAGCACTTAATACAAGGCTTTTGTGGGATGATTTTACATGTTATTGTGCAGATAAACTTTGCCCTTCCAGAGAAGGGTTACATGCAGCAATGAAGCAGCATTTCAGTTTAATCTAGGGAATCAAATGCCTGGTACCTTGGATATACCCTGCAGTAGGAACTTCTGAGTACTCAAACCTGATTTTTTCCTCTCTTTAAAGAAAATGTATTCTCTAAAGGAGATGATTTGGTAAAGATAGCAGGGAGTCCGAGCTGGACTTTGGTTTCAGACTTCTATATTGCCCTTACTAATGGTCTTTAGACATAAGTTTTTTTTTTAAAAAAAAAAAAGGCAATAACCTCCTGGACTTCCTAAAAATCCAGCTAAATAGTCAGTAGACCCTGGAAGGAGTGAGAAAGAAGCACACTGCAGTTTGCTGCATGACACTGCCAGCCATGCCCGTGCTGTGTTGATGATAGGGCAGGTGTGTTGCTGTGAACCATCACATGGGGCACAGCTTGTGCTAAGCACCTTGTTGGGAAATCTGGCGAGTGGAAGATTAGTTTTGCAGTGATGTTTCTCAGAGCAGTAGCCTGTGTTTCCTGTTGCTCTTTTCCACCAAGTGGCAGTGTTCTCCTGGCTCCGCTCGTTGTGCTGAGAGCTTCAGTTGTGGTTATGGTAAATCCAAGGTGTGGCAGGAAGTAGGGAGCTTAACTCGCTTTTGGATAACTCCAGCTGAGTATTGAACTTGTTCTTGCTGTATGAATTTCATTTAAGAAATCACAGATCTGGAGATGTGTGAATAGATAGAATAGGTTATTCATTTGTGACTAGGACTTTTCCAGGGTTTGAACCTAATTGTATCAGAAGACCAGTCCTTCAAAAAGCTGTTATGCCTGAGACTGAACTGCTGCAACTGATCAGTTAATTACAGAGCTGCTTATAAGGCCTGAACATTCATCCCACATTGTTTCTGCTGTTTTCACCCCAGAATAGAAGGTTAATGAGTTACACTGAGCTTGTGTCTTAATTGGATAATTAACCAGGACAATTCTAACTGTCAAACCACACAGAGGAGTTTGCATGTACCTGCTGTGTCCTGTGATTTGGCCTTGCTGTGGACTTGAACAATAGCAAACACAGAAGCTATGAGCTCACTTTTTGTTAGTTATGGGTATAGACTGAAGAGATTAAAAGCTCTGACAGTTTTAACAGTAAAGCAATGCCGGTTGCATTAACCTCCGTATTTTATTTTGAGTACAATGAGCATGCCTTGTTGCTATTGATGAAGGGGGCATTTCCGTCCCATTTGGCAGCCCTTGGTACTCACCAGGGACCAAGGCAGTGCTGAGGGCTGGATGGGGCTGGTCCCCTTTGGCAGCCCTTGGTGCTCACCAGGGACCAAGGCAGTGCTGAGGGCTGGATGGGGCTGCAGCCTTCCTGTTTCTTCTGCTGGGCAGCAAGTTCAGATGAGCTTTTTTCAAGTTCAGACACTCCTATGATGTCAGGCTGCTGTTTTCTCAATAGCCTCGGGAGATAAGTTGAGGTTTTCTATAAACCTGCCCGAGAAATGGGAGTGTCAGGAGGAGATGATTGCTGAAGCTTAAATATTCTTCCAGAGTAGACTTTTGCCCCATAGGATACTCTGCTCCTGAGCACCTCTGAATCAGTCCTGAACATTAAATGCCTATAGCAAAAAGCAGTATCTTCTTGAATTGAAGTAAGATAGTCCAATACACAGCTGTCCTGTTTGTTTGAAGCGAGTCAGGGACACATGGAAAGCAGGAGATTCAAACCTGAAAAAAAGTAGTGGTCACTTGTCGCAAACATGCTACTGCCTTGAAAGAACCTCAGAAATAAAAGACTTTGCTGAGAGGGGGAAAAGAAATGCTTGGCAGAAGTTGCTGGCAAAGAGATGATGTTAAAGGGATTATGTCCTGCAGTCGAGATGGGCTCTATGTCCCCTCCTCAGATGATGGAACTGTGGATTTTAAAAATTAGAGCCTGTGACTGCTGGTCTGAAATCTGTTGTGTGGCATTTGTTGTGGCTTGGAGTGACAAGAGTTAAAGGGCTGTGCGGTGTGTGCAGTTTGCTTGGGCTCCTGCCAGCAGCAGCCTTGGCATAGGAGCAAAATACAACCCTCGGGGCTCACTAATGAACCGGCCCTGCAGGAAGAAGCAAAATAAATCTTGGGCGAAGCTCGGAACTGGTGCTCCAGGCCTTACCTGGTGGGTCCTGTGGTGTCGCATCGTCGGGATGGGGAAATAGCAGGTTGCAGGTGGAGCTCAAGGCCACAACCCAGCCCTTGTGCTTCGCATACGGTGGGGGGGAATCATTAACTCTCCAGCCTTGATTACAGTATCCGAACTAGCCAGCACAGGGAAGTTGATTAAATATTGCCACTCCCTTTGCAAGTGAATGCCTGACACATGGTAACAGTGTCTGAAAGCAGGTAACTGCCTTGGTATTTTTGGTTTCCTTTTGTCTTATGGCGCTCCCTGCTTCTGCTGTTGAATTGAGAGGCAGCCAAAGTGGGATCTTTTAGAAGCAGCAAAAAAGTGTCAAGTTTTAAAAGAAATGCTGCATTCCTGAGCATAGCAAAGTAGTAGCGGTTGATAATATTAAGATTTGTTGATCTTTTATTGACCCAGACTGCCTGTAAAATAATTTCATGTATTGTGATACATGGGTGTATACCAATATTTAGAGAATTTGGGTCACAGTGCTTATGTTGCTGCCCATTAACTTGTCTGTTGAAATAAAAAAAAAATACTGATTTCAGGTGTAAAAATGAGGCTATAAGAATCAGTAAATGGGTCTGTTTGCAATAGTGCTGTCTCTTTAACTTTATTTGCTAAGGCATATTAGTATTTCTGCAATCAAGATGCATTTGTGAAACCAGAATCTTAGCCTGCCTGAACCTGCTCAGTAACTTTGACCTAAATGTAACTACCCTACTCTGAATGAGGAGGGGGAAGTGTGTTTGGGGAAAACTTGGTTCAATAAATTGCTGATATAACCGTCTCATGCGAGTAGTGCAGCATGGAAAGGCTCTCTGTCTTTATCAGAGTCAAATTTTATTATTTCTCCACCTCTCCCTTGCTTTTTGATACTACCCAGGTTAGTATTTTGGCATCTATGGGATGGAACTGACCCAAGAGCACCTATATTTCAAAAATGACCTTCTGTTACAGATGGCAGTGCTATATGCATCATTGTGAATTCTTTTGAAGTGCAAATTGTATTTTGAGGAATAAAATTAGTGGGAAACAAACCACTGGCAAGCTCATTTCTTTGCCTGTGAGCACAGGCTGAAGCTTAAGGTGGTAACCATTGCAGCTGCAGAATGGTCTTATCCTGCAAAAGCTTCATCTTCCTTGCTTTTAATCTGCCTGTAGAAAATATTGCCTGCACTTGCAACTTGACAGAGTTTTCCCTCGTTTCAGGCATGGTGAGCTGCTTTCTGATGCTCGTGCTGGTGGAGCTGGGCCGTTCGGCACTGCAGCAGGCAGCGCTGTGCATGGAAGGCCTTTAGGGGGAGTGCAGTAATTCACCTTCTAGTGTGTGGGCTGCGCGGTTAAAATGAGTGCTCAAACATGAAAACAGCTGTTGGCTCTGCAGATGCTCACTTTTTTAGGTAGTTCACCTTAGTTCTTGCAGGGGAAATCGGTGGTTAAACAGTTTTCTTCGCAGGGAACCAACGTGCAAGATTTTGGAGGGGGTTTGCCCCTTCTCCCCAGAAGTGCCTCTGCCTGCAGCCCTGCCTGCCTGCAAGGGAGGTGGATCAGAGCATTGCTGACTTACCTACTTCAGAGCTGCTGGCTTGAATCCAGCTCGTGAGCTATTTGGGGGATGAGACATGTGCAAAGACGTGTTTGTGCCTTCCTCCCCGCCGGGCATACATGCTGCAACAGACCCCTCGCTCCCCGCGGTGCCGAATACCACAGATGACTGACACAGGTGGGGCTTGCTTTCCTCCAAAGGAAGAGTCAGGCTCTTTCTGTTTATCTTTACATGGGAAGAAAAGGCCTTTTTGGAGCTGCTTTCCTTGTGTGTTTCCCCTGGTAAAGGTGTACGCTCCATTTTTTGTTGCAGTTTTTTCTTTGTGGGATTGAAACAGGCTGCTCTAAACTTGCATGTTGGTGCCTGTTGGAGTGAGAGTCCTGGAGTCTCAGCCCAGACAGACAGATGGTCTCAAATGCCAGCAAACACCAGATAGGAGCTTCTTCCAGCAAAAAAACTGAAAAATCTCCACGGAATCCACTCCTGGA